TTTGGTAGAGAAGATCGGACAGATTTCGCCAAGGCAAGCTGGGCAGTCGCCTATTGCTCCTATTCCAGATAACCCACTGTACCCTGTCTGAAAGGAAGTAACGCTAGAGTAGACTCGCGAAAAGTGTATAAGACACTTTTAAGATCAACTAAATAGCTAAGCCCAAGGGAAGTCGTTCGGGGAGGCCCTCCCTAATTCCACAAGGGTGAGAAGAAACACACACGATAACGAAACGTTGAATCATGTAGAACTCGTAGGGTAAATGCAAAGCAATTTAGTAAGAATATGCAGTAAGCTAAGCGAAGAGGTAAGCAAGAGACATGTTAGACTACACTACAACTACTAAACGAGTTAGTGCTACTACTACACTACACAACACTACTACTACATACAAAAAAAAACAAGAATCTACAATCAACAATTACTTCAAACAAAAAGAACAAAAATAAGCATGCAAAATAAAAACTAAATCAAATTAACTATTTGAAACTACAAGAAACTACAAAAAAATTAAAAAAACATGCAAAATAAAAAAATTAATTTGAATAAAATCAACTTAACGAATTCTATTAGATAGAACATGCAAGATAGAGAACTATATTAACTATGGGGTCATCTTTGTCTTCTCCAACGTCGATCTGAAACAGATACGGTGGCAAATAGATTAATAAAGAGCAATTAAAATTAATTATATCAAGTATTCCCACCTTAGTTAACTGTAGACTGTAATGTTCCAAAGTTTGCAGGTGTGAAAAGCAAACAAAATCCAGGAAAAATGCCAATGCAGAAAATTCCTTATTCCAGTGGAAATCAAATAAATATCCACTTGTTCTCACTCATCAGTTCAAAACTAACTGCATAATGATGCTAAGCGAAGACGAAAACAGCAAATCAAGAATATAGTTCACTAAAGACCACACCCATGTAGACAACGGCTGTTTCAGTACGACCAACATGAACTTCAACTTCCTCTCATATGTTGAACAATCTGTAGAAATGGGGAAAAAAACATATTAATCACACTATTAAATAAGGAAGAGATCAAACACACTTAAAAACACCCATCAAAAACCAAGTATAACAGCTGAACTATAAAATGGTGACACGCGTCAAGTTTACATGACAGACTAAATATGACATATAAATGTGAACTAATCATAGATGCACATAGCATTAATTTATAATGTAGACAATTGATAATTATTAAAACTCCACAGATGCTCAAGTCAATTTAAACTGTAAACAGTAGATAAACGTTAAACGACATACCATAGATGCTGTGGACTATAGATATTTAAAATACTATACATACACCACAACCTCAATCTATACTCCGGCCAATAGATAAGAGTTTAAAAGAAATGCCACTATAGATTAATAAAGAACAATTAAAATTAATTATATCAAGTATTCTCACCTTAATTAACTGTAGACTGTAATGTTCCAAAGTTTGCAAGGGTGAAAAGAAAACAAAATCCAGGAATAATGGCAATGCAGAAAGTTTCTTATTTCAGTGGAATTCAAATAAATATCCACTTGTTCTCACTCATCAGTTCAAAACTAACTGCATAATGATGCAAACCGAAGACGAAAACAGCAAATCAAAAATGTAGTTCACCAAAGACCACACCCATGTAGACAATGGTTGTTTCAGTACGACCAAAATGAATTTCAACTCCCTCTCATTTGTTGAACAATCTGTAGAAATGGGGAAAAAAACATATTAATTACACAATTAATTAAGGACGAGATTAAACACACCTAGAAACACGCATCAAAAACCGAGTAGAACCGCTGAATTATAAAATGGCGACAAGCGTCAAGTTTACATGACAGACTAAATATGACATATAAATGTGAAACAATCATAGACGCACATAACATTAATTTATTAAAAATCCACAGATGCGTAGGTCAATTTAAACTGTCAACAATAGATAAACGTTAAACGACATACCATAGATGCTGTGGACTATAGATATTTAAAATACTATACATAGCCACATCAATCTATACTCTGACCAATTGATAACAGTTTAAAAGAAATGCCACTATAGATTAATAGAGCAGTTAATATTAATTACGTCTTGTTTTCTCACCTCGACCACCTGTAGAAAGTAGCGTTCCAAAGTCTACCAGAATCATGAGCAGAGCAAAACAAACATAGGAGGGATATCACTGCAGACAATTAGTTGTTCAAGTGGCTTCCATCCAAATTAATTTCCATTTGCCTCCCATTCTCAGGGCCAAAACTAACTGCATAATTTTGCAACATAAAAACATCAAAAGCAACGGTTGTTTCAGTAGCACCAATTCCTTCCAATTTGTTACTATAGAAAAGGGCAAAAAGTAATCAATTACCACTTTTAAAGCAAGTACGTTAAGCTGAAATGTTGTTTAAATATTGTCTATTGAGGCAAGTTACAAATGTCTAAGAAATTGAAGTTTCTGGGAGCTCACTTACTATATTTAATTGATACTGTTACTTACCAGTTCATTGTCATAAATCCTTTCTTCAGCAACAGCACACTGTCTCCGTTCCCAATGGAAAAATGGCGTTTTCATGCTTTCTTTTAAGGACCATAGGCACAGCTACTTTCTGGAGCGATTGACGACTGAGACAACCAATGTCCCATAATTTAACAGAATCTGGAGTTCTTCCAACGTTCCTGTAAAATGAAACAGCATTTTAGCATCCTTAGCAAATAACATGTATAATACATGGTTAAACTACTGTAAATATCATAGACGCACGATAATGTTAATTTATACTGTGGAGAATAGATAATTGTTAAAAGAAATGTCATAACAGTTTAATAAAGAGCAATTAATATTGATTATGTTATGTAGTTTTTTTCCAGGGTGGCGGTCAAATAATTACACAACTATAAGTTTTTGTAACGTTTCGGTTTATTTAACCATCTTCATACTGAAAANTTTTCAAAATCACGGTTTAAAATATTAATAATCAATAAATAAAAACGTTTTTAAACTGGGAATTGGAAGTGCAAGTCGATGTTCATTGTGAATTTTTGTGGCCAAATCAGCTTAACGTAATAGAGCTACAAATGCCAACAAGACCTTCTGAAGCAAGTTACAAATGTTTAAAAAAAAATTAAATTTTTGGTACATCATTTATCATTTCTAATTGATACTGTTACTTACCTGTTCAATGTCATAAATCCTTCCTTCTGCTACCGCACACTGCCTTCGTTCCCAACGGAAAAAAGGCACCTTCACGCCTTCCTCAACACTTCAGATATTACTACTTTCCAGAGTGAAAGAGCACTGATACAACCAATGTTTCGTAACATATTGTACCTATATGGAATTTTTATGTTCCTGTAAAATAAAATATTATGAAAGTTTTCAGATATTATTAAGTTTGCCTCCCTACTAGAAAAGGTACATAATACAATAACATTAAAGTAATGCCATACCCTTTTCTCTATCAACATCAAACAAATATTTTGTATATGACTTAAAATTATTTAGAGGTACTGCTATGTTTTCGAAAAGAAAAGAAAATATAATGACAGTAATACAGTTTATAGTAATAAACTTATTAAAATAACAACTATTTATTTTTAAATGAAACGAACAAGTGTGGTGGAAAAAAGGCACTTTTAAAGTGCTTTGAGGTACTGCAGCTTTTTCGAGAGAATGTGAACTTCTACAATCGATGATCCACAATAAATGGCATTCAGAATTTATATAAAGTCCTGTGGAATAATTTGCTACATTAAAGACTGTAATTTTAAGCCATATTTTAGAATATATTGTATTGTATATATTGAATATTATGTATTACAGTAATTTCTAACTGGTCAACGATTATAAAGAAAATTAAACAATTTTCAAACGTTAATTGTTTAGTCTACATAGCAAAGAAAGCGATGTTCTGCAACACAGTGGATTTTATTACTCAAGAACTCAAATGAAAATTTCATAGATTATCATTATATTAACCAATATCTGAAGTGAAAAAGTGATCCAAAACGCAAGACAACCATAGCTGTAATAACAGATACAACATTAACAAAATATATTATAAGACTTCAGTTGTATATATAGAAAAACACAAAAATATAAATGAATGGTCATAGACAATAGACCAAATGAAGGGTTACTGCTTTACCTAAACATTCAGAACTAGTATGCAGTTGTTCAACATGATAGAATGATTAAAAATAACTTAATATCTGTGTACAAGCAGTAACACTCCAAAAGGTATGTTCTTTGACTATTAATTATATTTATATTTTACAAACAAATGTATAACATCTAACTAGAAGAACTACAAGTAAAAAGCAAATTTTTTTCAGTCTAGAGATGGTTAAATAAACCAAAACGTTACAAGAAATATACTAGTTGTGTGACCGCCACCGTGAAAAAAACTACATAATTTAATAGTAACGGTCAGGAATCTAACTTAAATTGATTATGTAATGTTCTCTCACCATAGTAAAAAGTAGCGTTCTAAAGTTCATCAGTGTTATTGAGCAAACCAAATCTAGGAATGATACCACTGCAGACAATTTGTTGTTTCAGTGGCTTCCAAATTAATTTCCAATTGCCTCCCATTCTCAGGGCCAAAATTAACTGCATAATGTTGCAAGGCGAAGATGTCAAAAGCATCGGTTGTTTCTGCATCAAAATTAACTGCAATTTTCCTTCTCATTTGTTTGTTAGACCATCTATAGAAACTGGCAAGAAAAAGTAATTAATTACCACTTTCTAAAACATTGTTTAAAAATTGCCTATTGAAGCAAGTTAGAAATGTCTAAAAGATAGAGGTGTCTGGGATCTCATTTATTATTTCTAATTGATAGTTACTTACCAGTTCACTGTCATGAATCTTTTCTACAGCAACAGCACACTGTCTTTTTATTCTCAATGGAAAAAAGGCACTTCTATGCTTTCTTTAGGACCATGAGTACACATCTACTTTATGGGGCAAATGAGGAGTGATACAACAGATGCTCCTTAATTTAATGGCATCTGGTGTTTTCTAATGTTCCTATAAAATGAAATCAATGAAAAAGTATTCAGATACAATTAGTTTAGCTTCACTAGTTAAAGTAATGTACAACCGTTTTTTCTGTTAATAATTTTAAGATATAATGATACTTATATGGTAGCACTTTTGTAAGAAACTCTTTTTGGTATCTTCAACTATAAAGCAGTTATTGAAGAAACCCGCTTGCTTGGGACACTCTGTATAATATAATATGTATGCTCACCTTAATTAACTACAGGTCTCCAAGATGATAACCTAACAGATAAAACACCATAGGAGACGACCTGCTTTTTCAGTAGCATTATGATAAACTTCAATCTTCTCACTCATTTATCTTAGATACAATCTGTAGAAATAGAGAAATAACAAATTAACTATTGTATGAAGTAAATATATAATGGAATAGAATAAAAAACTTACAAAAAAGTAAGTAAAATTGTAAAACTCATACTTTTAAAATGGCGATGAGGCGTGTCTTCTTTCATAGATGTATAAAATTCATAAAAACATCTATTTCGCCGAAAATTTAATTTATTCTGCAGATAATTGCGAAAAATAATAATATACAGTATGAGTCAATCAATCTGATCTTTCAAGATATTCCACGTAGAAAAAAATTAACTCGGCAAGTTGAATTTAAAAGACGCGAACAAGACATCCTAACCCTACGAAAGATTATTCACTTATAATGCACCAAACTTGTCTCAAGCTTGTCGCCAAATTGCGGTAGCTAATGCACGAAGCACTGATGACGTAGGCAAACGCCAATCAGAAGCGTCAAATCTGATGTCAGCGAGGGTTTAACCAATCGCGTACCTAGTTTCATCCCCGTTTTACAGAATTGAGCTAAATGTGTTTTTTGCTTCGTGAGAGTTCCATCGCCTGACCACTACTCTAAACATAACCGAATACAAGAGCGAGAGAGACAGTGAAAACTTAAAAAGAGAGCATTAGAGAAGAAAATAATGCTACTAAATTGAATTACGGGATGTTCTGGTATATAAATTATTCAAAGATGAGACAAAGACCTACTTCAGAAATAAAACCATAATTAATAAAAAAAAATAGTTTTCTGTCCTTCCTTGAGATATTGTCTATCCAATAATAAAAATAATCAAAATCGGTTTAAAATCGGCAAAGAAATAGTGATGTACACAAATAAAAATGTTTTTTACTGTTATCTAGTCGAATTGAGAACAAAATAAATAAGTTATACGTAAAGCCATGATTAAAAATAAAAGATAAATAATTACAAATGACATTAAGTTTGAATAATTGAATAAACTGTTTTTTTACAACTATAGATGTAGGCATTACTTTTATTTTTATATTTTTTATGTATTATCAGGGCTCAACCGTAACATGATTAATTCATAAATACACAAAATAACGTACTTATTTTACTGTGATTACAATTTAATCATTAGCAAATAAGTATGTTTTATTTCTGTGGTTTAATTTATACGTAATCAAATCAGATGATTTCTTAGTTAAATAAACTCTTCTTATTATCGTTTATTTATCTAGTTTAGTGATCTTAAACTACACATTATGACAAAAATGTTAAATTTGTGCGAATTGCATACTTTGACACGGTTAAAAAAATAAAGAATACAATCAACAAAACAAAAATATACATACAATGTAGAAATCTTCCCGAAGTGAGTTAGTTTTTAATATGAAATATTCTCAATTTTTACCCNAATCCACTATAAATTACCTCAAGTTAATTTATATTTGATATTAACCACTATTAAAAATGCCAAAGTCATATAAAAGAAAATGAATCTAATTGCAAACTATTATAAAAACATATATAACTTCATGATAACGTTGACTTGTGGGTTTATAGCATTCCTGTGGTATAATAATAAAATTCGACCAAATATACAAGAACTAAATTTTTTAAACATTAAACGAATCAAATGGAAACTAGGTAATTGCAGTATAATTTTAGAAGTACCTTATTGTTATTTATAAAGAATTTGTATACAATAAAAGTTTACCAAAATTCGATGATAGCTTGCAGGGCCGTAGTTTGTAAATGTAAAAACCTGGCCATTACCTATTCAAACCGGTGGGAAGAGCAAATATTGGTGCATGCAACGGCTTTTTGAAAGCTTCAAATTAATGTTCTTCAGTGTTCCTAAAAGGCCAGCGAAGATGTGAATTTTACCAAATTAGATGATAGCTTGCAGGGCCGTAGTTCGTAAATGTAAAGACCTGGGCATAACCTACTCTAACCGGCAGAAAGAGCACATATTAATGCATGCGACGGCTTTTTGAAAGCTCTAAATTGATGTTCTCAAGTGTGTCTAAAAGTCCAGGGAAGATATTAATTTTGTTCGATTTGCCAAAATTAGATGATAGTTTGCAGGGCCGTAGTTCGTAAATGTGTAAGACCTGTGTACAACCTACTTAAATCGCGAGAAAGAGTACATACTGGTATATCGAACGACTTTTCGAAAGCTTCGAAATAATGTTCTTATGTGTGCCTCAACGATTTTTTAAGCATCGAAGTTATGGAAAAATATGGATACATTACTTTTGTTCTTAATCAAATCAATCTCTATTTTTGATTAAGAGGTATCTATTTGACTATTATTACTTTGTTATAGTTTTATACTCTCATCCTAATTTTTCCAAATAGAGTTAACAGTTTTTTTTCTGCATTTTCAACTATAAGCAACTATCTATCAAAAATATCGTACAGATAATTGTAATGTACAGGACACAAGGTAAAAATGCCCACATTAGAGAAATATACAAAAGAAAGTGAAAAATATTCATTTAGATTAATAGTGTTAAGTGTTTTAAAAATGTAATTATGTTCATAGATTGCCCATGTTTCAAATAAAATTATATTATTTTATTAAAATCCAAACATTTAGTTGCTTACACAAGTTTCGACCCGCACTGTAACATTACTACCACTACGATTGGAATTTAAAATTAAATTATAGTGTTAAATTGGCTAAGGACTGTTCGTCCTTGATATATACAACCCGCTTCGCTGCAGAGTATTCTGAGCGTCAGGCTGCAGTAGCACTACTGAATTCCTTTACTTATTAAACCCTCAGCTTTCAATACCAGAATTTAAAACATTAATAAATTAAATTGGATATTGGAAATGCAAACCTAAGTTCTCTAACAATTTTTGGGACAAAATAAGCAAAACGTAGTGGAGCTATAAACGCCAACCAAGCCTTTTTAGACAAAATTTCGATAAACCGAAGTTCGCAATTATCTACAACCCCAACCAAATAATGGACGATGTAACGGATTTATACAAAGAAGTAACATATGCTCATCATACTATGCATTATGTTCTAGGACATTTTTTGATAACCATATTGACACCAAATCAATAAAAAAATTTATTTATTAATATTAATTTAACTAGGTATTATTAACTGAAGTAGCTGTAGAATGTTACATTCCATGGTGATACCAGGTCAGACATGCCATGTAGTTATCGGTAGGGTTGGAATGCGTAAAAACTGTTAGGTATATTTGTATATTAATACCTTCATCATTTGACTGGCATGAGGATAACATTGATATATCTCAGTAATTAATTTCAGACATCGTGAGACCAACACGGTGACAATTGCAACAGTTCATTAGGGCGAACACCCCGACCTGCAATAGTCAAAAAACTAATTTAAATTATTGCCGAACTCGCTACCCTTTGTAGTTGAATTTGTCAGCTTCGACGCTCCTTTCCTAAGGCTATGATTCTGGGTTATAAAAATCAAAAATCGTAGTGATCGTTTTCCGGCATCGTGGGACCAACACGGCGTTATACCGTAGTCATTGACTTTACGTCAATTGACGACTGTTTTGGGGACTGCTGCCTTGGGTTTCACAACTTAAAGGTGCGGTCAGCCCTTGACCAGCAATGGCCGAGGGAATCTTAATCAAGTTAATACCAATTTCCCATCCTTTGTCGCTGACTTTATGCCAGCTTTGACATTGCTCCCAGAGCTTTTATTTTGGGTTTTAAAAGCCTAAAATCAAAGCAGTCATTCTTTTTTAGGCATCGTGGGACCACAATTTGACAACTGCATTTGTGTAGGTTTTCATTTGCAGTTGTCAGCTTAGTCATTAACTTCGGTCAATTGACGATTTGTTGTGGGCTACAACCTTAGGTTTCATGACCTAAAAGCATAGCCCTGTCTTGACTAGCAATGGTCGAGGGATTTAATTTAAATTAATGCCAAACTCCCTACCCGTTGTCGTTGACTTTGGTCAGCTTTGACGCTCCTTTCCTAAAGCTAATATTTTGGACTTTTAAAACCTAAAATGATAGTGATCAATTTCGGGCATCGTGGGGAAGCCCTGACTTGCAACTGTCATCGCAGTAATTGGCTTTGTGACAACTACTATCGGATTTTCTGATTTGATTTAAATATCAGAATGTTTCTGCTCTAACGCCTAAAACTTTTTTTTTTTATAAACATATTGTCACGCAGTGAAATTTTAATGAAATTCAAAAAACCATTTTAGACCTTAAAACATATTTCAAAATTAATTAAATATTTTATAATTATAACGTTGCTATTCTTTTTAAATTAATAGAACGGATATCGAGTTCATTCACTTGCAAAGTAAGCATATTTATCAGCACATAGCAACGAGGCAGCAAGTGAAAACAACTACCTATTTTGCAAGCGGAATTTGACGCTAGTTTGATAGCTCTGGTCGTTAGGAAAATTATTGAACTTCGCGAAGTCATCAATAAGGACTTCGTCGTTTTTGTCATTAGATCAGCAAGACCAGAGAAACTTCTGGAACCAGTGAATGACCCATGTTGAACTATGGTCAAAATAATCACTGGTTCATCAGAAAGTTTAGCGCGTGGACGGGGATCGATGGTTGATTCGCAATCAGTCGATTCCGGAACGCGAAGGGATAAAGTCTACCCTTAAAAAGAACACTAGGTGGCAAATTCTGTGTGTTGGTGACACTACCCCTAGGTGATGATGGTTGCGACGCTCCTGCCAATAATGTAAGTAAAACAGACTTGTTTCTTTTGTGTGTGTTGATCTACATTGAGGGAAAGATCCTTTTTTTTTGTAAATGTCTTTTATCTTAATTTCCTTTATATTTACATAATAAAGTTGTTATTGTTTTAAAACTTGCCTATCTTGTCATTTTAGTACCTGACCCCCAGTCACGCCAAAATAATCAATTTGCATTAAAATCANGCCATGCCACCATAAAGAATTCTTCACCCTTAGCTAATAAAATAATTACATTCCTTAAAATTTTTTACATTATTAACCAGAATCCTAAACATTTTCGTGAAAAGATACTTTCAATTGCAATTATAAATTATTATGTATATTTTTTATCACCAACGAAGCAGTTATAATATTTCATAATTATATTATATAACTTTAAAATTTTCTAATCTCCACTTGCCTCATTGTCCTAACATTCCACGCTCCCATTCGTAAAGTATTGCATCTTCTCCTGTTGCACTTGATGATATGCCCCGAGGTAGTCCCCAACGGGACATTTGAATGGACGCCATCATTTATGTTGTAGAGTTGTAAGAATATGTTGATTTAAAAATTAATCTGGAAGAGAACCGAATTTACGAAAGGTGGAAAAACCAGTAGCCTGAAATTAACTACTAATGAAATTTTGGGACGTCCAAAAGATAATTTGGGAGAGGATTTGAAATTTACATTGTATTCAAAGCAAAAGTCTCAAGTTAGTTTCTTTTGAGTTAAATAAACAAATTTAAATCATGTAAATCGAAATAATATGTATTTACTCACAAAAATAATTTTCTCCATGATTAGTAGGAATCATTCCTTGTCCAATATAACAGGTTATTATTACCACCTTATATTACCGTACTGTTAGAACATAAATTGTATAATATCCTGTTTCTTTTACTGAATTAAGTCATTCTAAAATTGAATAGTAACTATAATAATGGATTATGTTCCACAACTCACACTTAAAAGCACAGCACGTCACAAAACGATTTGATAAATAATGAACATCGATGAACATACGATGAAAGCTTTTTGGTTATGAATCGTCTATTTTTATGAACACATTCTATGAAAATGTTCATAGAAAATGTTTATTATCATAGATAAGGTATATGTATCTTGTCTATGTTAGTCGTGTGAATCTGGCACTCAATATAAATAATTCTGAAATTTAAACTCTAATAATAAATTGTTCGTCGTTTGCGGGTTTTAAATATGTAAGCACAATAATTGTGCATTCATTCGTTATGCTAAAAAAAGTAAAAATTGTTTTGAGTGTAGGTAGAAATTAAATTTCAATTTATTTAAAAACTACTGAAGATACGATAATTTAATTGACCCCAATTGATTGCGTGTCTTTTGTACTTGAAGACTGATCTAATATGGTAAGCGGAATTTATCTTTTTATTATATATTAGTAATAATTGCAAATAATACATAGACAAATAGTATTTTTCATTGATATTACTAATACGGGTGTGCTATTAGTGAATCATAGATAATCGATGATTATATTAATGTGTTAATGCCATTGAAGAATTTAGTATTATTTGTAATCATTACTTATTAAATAATATAAAAACAAACTCCGCTTACCATAATAGTTCAGTCTTCAGGCACAAATGACACGCAATCAATTTGTGTCAATTAAATGATTATATCTTCAGTAGTTTTTCAATAAATTGACATTCAATTTTCACTTCCACCCGAAACAACTTTCCTCTTTTTCTTTAACAGAACTAACGGACATACGATTATGACACTTACATATTTAGAACCCGCAAACGACGGACAATTGATTGGTAAAGTTTGTATTAGTGAGTTATTTATACCAGGTGCCATTTTTTGTTTATGAATAAGGCAATATAATGACACATAAACTATAGAGCGATATGAATGAAAAACTATTAGCGCCACCCTCCTTTAAACGGTTGAACTATGTGGAAAAGCAGAAATTAAATTTTGGGCGCCAACATTTTTAACTTTTTAACATTTTGTTGAAAATAAAAGTTTATGTGCTTGCTACTGTAGAGCGGTTGTTTGCCATTTATTTTGAACAATCATTAATATTAAATTATAAATGAATCTGCTTTTTGTTACGTAACATTTGTTCAATTATATAAATTTAATTTGTAATAATAGCATGAAGTTAAAATATTTATTTCTATTAAAAAGTAGCTGTTTTATTTAATTGAAATTCCAGAAGTAACTGTACAACATGAGCACTCTCAACATGGGGGCGTAGCTCAGATGGTAGAGCGCTCGCTTAGCATGCGAGAGGTACCGGGATCGATGCCCGGCGCCTCCATACTTTTTTTGTTAAAAAGAAATGTTATTTAAATACGAAAACCCGCATAAATAGTTTATTTTTAAATCATTCGTATGAGAAAAGGTTTTTAAATCATTGGTATGAGAAAAGGTGTTCGTCAATCACATAAATTATAGAAACAATGCCTAGTTCTCTTCTTCGGTCTTAAACTGACTACCATAAAAGGGAATATGAGTTACAATGACCTTCCAGTTGGTGAAATAAATTAGAGCTACAAAAGAGGGGTATAACAATTTTCCATAATGTAAAAACGTAAAAAGCTTTTGTAAATATTTTTTTTTTCAGAAATGTTTCTCATTTCTAATTCTTTTAAATCGATAAGCAATTATATGATAAGGGTATTTACTAGAAGCAAAAAACAAAACATCTATGCTGGGTTACCATTGTAAATGGATTATCAATACTACACTAAGCTCAGCAGTGATGTATCGAATACCTTAAATTAAAATGCAAAATACTTTTAAATTAAGTATTTCAGATACCAGATGTAATAACTTTCTGGAATGGTATTTGATATACGTATCTTGTATCTTTATTTCAGATACTTATATCTTAGATAAGTTACATCTCTGAAGCTCAGATATAACATACATGTCTTATAAATTAAATTTTAGAAAAAAATTCTAATAGCTGCAAAAACCTATCACAAGCTAATGTATTAATTAGGAAAGTAATTAAAAATTTAAGATATCGAAAAAAAAAACATTTCCTTGCGTGTAATTTAAAGTTTGAAAAGAAAATTATTATTATTATAATAGCCTATGGAGTTTATCGTTAATTAAGAAAGACTAAAGAAAAAAGTGTCCCACAACATATAAAGTAATTATTTAAACTATAATAAAATGAATACTAAAAATTATTTTTAACAGTTTTATAGTTGTTGCCTCACTTTTGGACTGATTATTATGAGATGTATTCGCAATTAAATAAAGGATGTACATTTAAAACTTACTTATTGCTAGAGCAGTACCAAAAAGAACGATAGTATTGATATAAGCTTTGAATGCTTCGATATGACTTGGTCCCAACCGACGCAAAATTTCGCTATGAATTATTCTGTCGTACGAATAAGGCGGTTTCTGCTTTGTTGGGTCAATTCCAGCAATCAAAGGAACTTTGGTTGTAAGTTTGCTACAACAGCTACTAGCATATCTTGTACTACCTAAGGAGATAGCAACATTTGACGGTAATAAGATATTTCCCAGAGTAGTGCCAATTCCTCGCATTGTATAATTCATAATTGTAAACAAAAAATTGGTAATTAATAACAAAAATTTAGTGGTTTATAGTTAAAGCCGAAAAATTAGAAATGAAATATGTCAAACTTTGTTTTTGTCATCGGTTACCTATTGAACAAGTTTGAAAGTAATACATTCATCTGAAGTATACCTACTATTTGCTCTACTTGCTGCGTTTCAGTAGGTACTCTATTTCCATATTTAGATGGATTAATGGAATAAAAGGTTCCACTCTATTTACAGTACACTCAGATAATCACTATTTATAGCACACAACCATTTATTTATTAGATTCTATGCTAGTGATTTTACATTTTACAATTAAAAATGTTCTAAATATCTACTACAAAATAATTGTAGAAAATTACGATATTTAGTAAAGTACATATTTTTAATGAGTTTTATATTATGTACTCCATTGTGCATATGTAGTGTTTGCATCTACATAATGTGTTGTTATTGTCCATAAAATATACATATTTTTAATTAATTATTAGTCCATTAATGTGGTTATTACTTTACATATACTTTGTTAATTGGAATCAAGTAATTTTTGTATTACAAGTAGGAAACAAAATAAAGGAAAAATAAATTAGGCTCACTTCTTGTCTAGCAAAAGTAAATCTAAATCTCTTGGTTATAATAACAACATTAAGTAACAATTTATTTACCAATACGAATTGGTATTTTGTCATATGAAATGATCATATCTTGGAAAAATTATTAATAAGTACTTTATCAGCTTTATATTTGCAATAATGTGTTTCAAAATGAACAAGTACTTATTTTTAAATATAATTCGCAGTTGTTTATTTAATAAGTCGATTACTTATTTTTTTACCGTAAGATTTAATATCATTTTTTAAATTAAAAATGATGTCTTGAATTTTAGTCGTCGTTCAAGGCACGTTACTTGGAAGTGTACTTTTGGTTCTTCAACATCAGAAATTGATAAATAAATACCTTTACGCCTCTTTTAATTTGTTAAAGTATACTTGAAATACAAAATGTAGATATTCAATAACTTTTTACATTAATTTAAGATGTTAAAATTAAAGATAAACTGTAATATTGCATAAAAGTTATCAAATTTCGGTATTTGTCTAACTCTAGAAGTCCACGGTCGGAGGGGGTAGGAAATAGGTGGCGGTGGGGATGACCTTGCGCAACACTAAAAAATGATTTTATGGAGGGGTTGAATTGCAAAGGTGATGCTAAAACACCGATTCAAAATGGGTACAGGGGTAGCCAAGCCAAGGGTAGTGAAATAAAAGTACGTAAATAAATATGCAATATTACAATCAACCGCTAAATTCTAGAAGTTATTGGCTTTTAATGTGGTTCTAGATGCATTAAATTACCGTAAAAGTTTTATGGTGTTAAACACTTACAGTTAGATAGTTAAAGAAACAGTACAATATTTTTAAGACGACAAGGCCCCAAAAGCAGCACTTAGCTAAATATGCGAAAGATGACTTTATTTGTCAAGGTAATTCGTCTTAGTCCCTTAGATAAGTCATAACTGGAAGCGAAATCGTGCAAATTTATTTAATATCAATAAATCCACATCTATTCGACTTAAACAACGAAAAAATTAAATAGGCACCAAACCAAATAGTTTGTTATTCTTTCATGTACCTATTTCATGCACCCCTGGTAACCGAAAGGACAACATTGGCCCTAAATAAAGACTTGTTCATCATCTGAAGTATTAAGTAAACACTTTGCGTCACTTTCAGACCCTTTACGTTCCCTTTTAATTGGTGTTACAGGGTATTTAACGGGGCCCCTCCATTTTCTGCTCAGTCCTAAACTTCTTGGTAATGCAATGGGCATACTTATTTTTCTACAGTCTTCCATTGACCTTTTGGTGCTTTTGGAAATTTCTATATCACTCTTGGATCTATTTTCTAAATAGTTCAAGTTACTACAAGAAGCAGACACCGTTTTTTTGGGAAGTCCCTTCGATTCGACGCAGTCTACCACTTCCGGTTCAAAGCCATATCGGATATGCTTGTGATACGGTACATCGGTGGTTGTGGCAGTTCTTGTCACAGAGGGCAAGCAGAAGTGTTTGTTAAAATTTGTTATATCGTAACAAGACTCTATAAGGTGTTTTTCGATAGGTGTATCAGCGCTTCCAAATGAACTTCCTGAACCACCAGCGTATGAGAAGTGTTTGAGTTTGCGCACTGCGTTTTCAAGCTTCAGTGACTGAAGATGGCACTCCTTCGAGTCAGTTAAGTCAATGCTACCTTTCGTAATTGAATTTTCCAGCCTTTAAATGTTCCAAAATTAATTAATCTTGAGAGTTAAGTAAAACAATCTTTTTGTTATGGAATAATCGGGAACAGTTAAATTGGAGCCTGTTTTCGTTTTTTTAGTCTCTTAGTCTTTAAAATATTTACAATTCGTTCACCTTATTCAGAATTTACTGAAATGATCGCGTGAAACTTCTTTTGTTATGAGATAATCAATAAAGAATAAGAGGAAAAATGTATCAAGTAGGTACATATATAAGAAAATACTAAAAATACAAACCTACCTTTCTTTTGTAGAACTTTTATTCAAAATGCTTTTCCCATTATTTTTGGTTTGTGAAAGGATCAGCTCGACGGTGTTACCACTCTTCTTCAAAATTTCCAAAGCATCTTCGTACTTGTAATTAAGCAAGTTTTGTTGATTGGCTGCAATTATTTGGTCTCCCTTCTTCATCTTTTTGAGAGCATCAGCTGGCCCACCGGGAATCACCGATTGAATGTAAACCTTACCGTCAGACCCTTCAGTTATTTGAATACCAAAACTTCCTTTTTGGTCCCGCTGTATTACTACGGAACACAGATAACGCTCTTCGGCAAAAGAAAGGTCGTTGAGTTTATCCAAAAGAGACTGACTCAACGTCTCATGGAAATTTGGTAGAAAATTGACATCGTGGGAGTGTATAGATGTATCTAAATAGAATGAAAGGAAAAATGAATTAATTAAATCAAGATAAATTCATCTCACCTAGAACATAAACGTCATTGACTTTCTTGTCCAGCATAAGTGATCTTGTGGAACTAGAACTGTAGTACAATGAAACACTTTGTAATGAAGACTTTTCTAAATCATCATTTGTGTCAACATTCATAGCTTCCATGGACCTGCAATTCCTATGCCCGCTCCGATTACTAAAAGCTCGTACACCCATCTTGACTCCTCTTCTCTTATCCCAAATGTTTAAGTTTGATAAACCGTCCAATATAAGCCCTTCATTTTTTACTTGTTCTTGTTTTTTCCTAGGCCTTTCGTTTTCTTTATTTTGAAACTCTTCAAACACATGAGCATTGCCAGTTTCTTTAGAAAAGTTGCCCACACTTTTTGATCTTTGGCTTTTCAGATCTTCATGGGAATTGGATTTCGACTTTTTAGAAGGAAATCGAAACTCAATCTTAAACTCTGTGCCAGCATTTGCTCTGTTCTTATCTAAATTTATATGTTGGGGGTTTGTTAATGTTTCTAATTTATACAGAGAATTTGTTTCATTCTTTATTTCTTTAAGAGGAACACCAAATGCTTCCGATAGTCTTTGAAGAGAAATATACTCAGTTTTTAATCGAAGAAAAAACTGATGATGCAAAGACGCCAATCTGAACGTAAAGTAACTCCTTCAAAAAGAAAAAAAAAACAAGTAAATAAATAACTAATCTTCGGTGCTATTAAAACTAGTTTTTTTTTACTCTTTAGGAAAGTACTTACTTTTTCAAATCCATTTTTAGCTTGTACTTTTTCAATTTCAGTTTATTTATTTTGCCGGTATGAGGAATAACACATAAATAATGTTTACTGTAGCACAGAGTCTGTATGGTTTTCCATTCAAACATCTCCAATAATGATAAACTAAAAGGATTAACAACGTCTAGTCTTTCGTATAAATTTATCCCCTGCGCACTAATAAATAACCACACGTTTCTCGGAATATTATCTTTCTGCACCTAAAAGAATAATTGTGAAGTCTATTGACGTAATCGAAATATTTTATAGTAGATACTAGTCGTAATATCACGTTAACTATTACAAATTCAATTGAAATTTTATTGAAAATGTTTAGCATACCTACTCATTTTTTCTTCTATATTTTTATGATTCTCAAATATCTTATCTGATTCTTGTAATTATACTGAATATATATTTACAAAGTGAGATGTGTTGATGTGATGAAAATACTGCGGATAAAAAAAGATAGGAAATAAGGAATTATTGGAAAGAGTAGGAGAACAAAGACCTACATTAGATAACTGTTCGCAAACAGTTAAGGATATGGGGTGTTCTAGTTTTCGGGAAATGAGAAGATTATTTCAGGGAAGGAGGAGTGCAGGTGTGTACTCAAGTAGTCTTCGGACTAAGACTGGGTCGTCAGTCCGAAGACTACCCTACGTTGAAGTTAATAAAGAATAGGATTCATCAGAGACACATTACACATGTAAGAATAATATTATTATGTAGATACCACTTACCCATGTCGCCATACAAAAATGACCTCCATAATGGGGTAACGTTTGAGCCATTTTAATAAATTCTTCTTCTGCTCTGATTACGTCCAAACCTATTTTGCTTTTGTGGCATCTAACTATTTCTTCTTTAAGCTGATGGGACTTTTCACGGTTACACGTAACTATTTCAGGAACGTAGTGCTCCAAGAGGAAGTAATCCCTAGAGCCATGCTCCTAGGAGTAATGAAATAATTATACATACGTTTTTACAATATTAATAAAAGACATTGAAGAAATAAATCATCAATTCAGACTGTTTGTTTCTTCAAGAGGCTAATAAAGGAATTCTGTCTCACCTTTTCGTTATAATCTCCGAATTCAGCTTGAAGAGCCAAGCCCCCAAGTTCGATAAATTGTCTAAACATGCAAGGCAATTGGTACTCAAGTATAGATCGCCTTATTTGTAGATACAGCAGATGTCTCGCTTGTGAATTTCTCAATCCTCTAAGATTCGGAAGGAAAAAACGCACCCTCACAAACAGGGTAATTTCAGATAAGTTATTGGGAGGATTTACAGCCTTACACACACGTGCATCCGAGGGTAAAAATACAAAATCGCCAGCCATCAAGGCAGACAAACCCAACATAAAATTTTCTTCGATATGTTCATGTCGTATTACCTCCTAAAAAAATAGAAACTCTGTTGTCATTTTGCAATTACACACTTTTAAATTGATTAATCTTTTCCGTCACCGGGTTTACTTTTTGTAAGGTAGACTACTATTAAGTTCAAGTTTACATTACTATGGTGGTGGGGTGGAGGTGTTGAATGTACTATACGACAAATAGAAAAATTTTTAGTATTCATAAGGCCAAAACCTTTTTAAAAGATGTTCAAACATCAATTTCTACAATGTTCAAATCAAACGTCGATTTAAGTAACTGTTTAATTTCTTTCTTCACAAGTAATCGCCTTATTACCCTAAGACATTGCTTTTTTAAATAACACATGCATGATTACCTTAAATGTAACCTCGTTGCACAAATAGTATAGTGTCTTAAGTTGCCATAAAACTCGAAAACTATTACTTCCGTATTTGGGAATATATATGATTTTTTCAAATACATAAGCAATCTGAGTCTCTTGAGAAGGGAAGGAGACCCACTGCAGCGTTAGTGACGGTCAGACCATTAAAGGAAAACATACATCTAGAGAAGGGATGCTTTTCCGCTGGTGTAATGGAACAATGATTCAACATCAAACTTTTGTTGAAACTTGGAAAAATTTAGGAAAATGAAGTATTGAGGGATGATTCAAATGGATTGAATATTCTAAAAGCGACGTGATGACATGACTCACGACCAGGATTCTCTGCGACTTCCTGCGTTGAAGAAAGCATTGAACCTGTACGATATCTTGTGTACTTCGATTACCTATTCAGTGTCAGGATAACTACCATATGACTGGAGAGCTTTTAGAGTTTAGAAAATCTTGTCGAAGAATTTTCTTCAAACTTCTGCTTTCCTTAAAGGGTGATAACTGGTTACCAATCGCTGATTTTAGAGTATGATATCGAGTTCATTACTGAAGAAGGGATGCAAATAGGTGAACTGTGGAAGCACACTTAGGAATTTGAAAAATAAATTGATCGTAATGATTGAAAAGATGATACAAGGTCAGGATGGTCTTCGACTTCGTGTGTTAATAAAAACAATGAACTTTTGTGGTCTCTTATGCTTTCCAATTGCTGATTCACTGTCTGAGTGATCAATACATTATGTAATGGTACCTAAAGAATATATGCTCCATCATGACAATACGCCTGCACATTCAGCAGTGATCGACCATGAGTTTCTTGCGTGTAGTTTGATCAACAAGCTAAATCACCTCTCTTACTCATGCAAGGGAAGAAAAAATAGGGAAAGAGTGAATATAAAGATAGGAGACGAAACGAAGTCAATAAGAAATAGGCGGGATAGGTTGGTAGGACACCTTCTCAGACATGAAGGCCTAGTAAGAGAAATATCGGAAGCAGAAACAGAGTTAAGAGGAGTAGAGGTAGACCTAGAGTGGAAGTGCGTGTTCAATCAGTCTTAGGACTGACGATCTTATGATAATGATGACCTAGCCACGTATATTCAAAAAACACTATCATACTGTTCCACCATTACCCACCGCCACCTAATTGATCATCCATTACGATCTCAGTATATTATAATGCAATGAAATTTCATGAGAATTCAAAGTACATAATTCAGTAAGTAAAGCATATTTTACCTCAAAAAGTTGTCCTGCTGTAATATTACTAGGGTTGCACTCGACTTCAATCTTCTGACCATTAAGCATGACAACCGTAACAGTTTTCCTAATGCCTTTGCTGTCCGCTACGACAATCTTCTTACTTGGCAAATTGGCTCTTATAATGAACTCCGGTCCGATACACTGTTTCTCCGAAGGTTCCTTTGTCCGACTTATTTTATCATCACATTCGGCCCGATACAATCTAGACGCTGCTCTTTGAACCGGATTTCTCCTTTGTCTGCAACGATTTTTGAATGTTTTCGTTCCATTGTCGTTACTTGCTCTTGCCAGAGCGCTTTTCATTACGGGACCTTTGTCATGGGTAAAAATCGTTTTAAAATCATCATCGATTTCTTTTTCCCTATTCATAACGTTTCTATTAAAAATCTGTTCATGATTTGTTATAGTTGGAGGGACACACATCGATTGTGGTCTTACTACAGTGCCAGGTAAATTTAATAATCTGGAAGATGATAAGTCTTCCATACTGGTACTTGCCTCTTTAGTTATTTTCGGTCTTTCTGAGATTTGTCCGTTGGGAGACCACCATTGGAGCGGTGGTGGTAACGCGTTCGTATATCTGTAACGATGAGGTTCAATGCTACTCATTTGATTTGATCGATAGATCACGAATTATTGTTAAAGTAGAGCAAACTGAACGTATAACAGATTAGTTCGGATCATTTTCTTTTCATTTTTTTTTTGTAAGAAATAATTACCTGCTTCTTGTAGCACCTTGCATTTCCGGCATAGCCGTAAGGGTCCACGGTGTGTTTAGGTTCATTTCAACACCTGCCAAAGCTTCTTGATGAAGGTCCATTACGATGTGCGAAAAAGGTCGGTTTTGTTGTTTTCTTGCACAATACTCGGAAATAACCTAGTGAATAATCGAAAAAAAGTTTGTTACATACCTACCACCAAATCGTCGAGAAGGAAAAAAATGATTAAATACAATTTGCCACATTTTAACTTCATTATGGTGTATTTCTTTATAACCTTGTAATTGTGTCTCAAACACTTGAAACAATACAATTAGCTAAATGTTGTATCAATAAATGATTTATTTGTTTTGTACTTTATTTACATCTAGATGCATTTAGAAAGTATGCACAAACTTTTGAGGTCTAAAAATCTAAAAACTTAGGTAATCGTTTCAATCGTTTACTTACGAAATAATTTCAAGTGCACATCTTCGTAACTATACTAAATTTTCAAGTTGCTCGAGTTCCACGTAACATTAAGTTTATATGGATTAAGATTGAGCGGAAAGTTTGTAGCTTTTGCAAAAGTTCGAGCGTGGAAAACATCAACTGAGGAGTGAGTTCCATACTATTTGTTATCTGTTCACCATGACTTCTATCCATTTCGAAGCACCGTGTTAAATATTTTCGAATCGTGAAATGTAAAATAAGATAAAAATAAAGATTCTGTAAGAAGCACATCCGATTTGTCCCGTAGTCTTAATCAATTTTCTTATAGGTCTAATTTTGTGTGGTCGTCGATGATCTTATTTAGGACATCAGTATGAGCGAAGCCGCGGGAAAAACCTATCATGAAATTTTATGCACATTTTCTTAGGGGTACAAAGGACATAGGGTACCTTTTATCCAGCAAAAAGAACCTGTTTCCCAGGGATAAAAAAATTGGTTTTATATGATCGTCGATGATCTTTGATGCGTATTTAGGACATCAACCTGAAGGAAGCCGCAGGTAAAACCTATCATGAAATTTTGCGCACACATCGTTAGGGGTACAGAGAAAGATATAGGGTGCCACTTATCCAGCAAAAAGAACCTGTTTCGCAGGGATAGAAAAACTAGTTGTATGTGGTTGTCGATGATCTCTGACACGTATCTAGGTCATCAATGCCAACGAAGCTGAGGGTAATATACTTCAGTTACTCTCTCTAGCCATGTGCCCCTTCTAATGTCTTGGATACGTGCTGGCAAAATCGTAGGTAGGAAAAAAAAAGCTCATTATACTCTCGACTCTTGTTCATTAAACATACTTTTTCATACAGAACCCGCCAAAAACTTTGTTCAATCATGAATAATAGTGTGAGTCGAAAACAAGCGTTAAAGCCTTTAATATGTCTTCAAATATAAATAAACATCTCGTTGATATTTTCAGTAGTAAATGGTGCCAATAACAGCACATTTGAGCAATGCAATTGTAGTGGATAAAATGGTCAATTTTTCCTTGCAGTACTGTACGGATTATACGCTCCTCGTCGGTTAAGAGTTTGGCCGAGAGTTGTCTCCTTTCTTTTCTGGCCTAGTGCTGTTCTTTTCTATTTTGCGCCGGTCAAACTGAAGGTCACATCGCTACAGAAAGTAAACGAAGTATACCTAGTAGATAAGGGGACAGTCATATACAGACAGATAGACGGAAAGATAGATCAAAACCATAAGGATTCTCAGTTTGTTAAGGCACCCTAGAGATGTAGGGTGTACATCCCTAAAAGTATAGTTATTGTTTAAATAATTTCGTACGTCTGACACTACGTGATACGGCACAGTTTTAAAAAGACATCCCTTTCATTTAAACAGGTCAGGATAGGTATCAAATGAATGCCTATACGAGAACATTCCCGGAAACCTCTTGATATTACCGTGAAAAAGAAGAAAAGGCTGGGATTAATTCATGTCACCGAGCACGTCTACTTCAATAGTTTTTGATGTATGAGAATACGTAGAAGTTGCAAATCATGTTTCCGGGACTGCAACCAACGGAATGAGAGGCACAAATATCTAAGGGAACATTATGAGTACTTTGACCTTTTGCACACGACATTACTAATTAATCCATTAAATCAAAACAACAGCAAAGAGATGAGCAAAAATAGTTCTTCAAACAACTGAACATCAAAAAAAAAAACAATGGAATAATTTATTGTTACTTTATTAATAGTGATTTAAAAGTAGAAAGTTAATAAGGGATTTTTGAAATGCATTTCGAAAATTTCAAATGTGTAGGTACATGCTATTATTCAGTTATATTTATTGATATTGGAATAAATTGAGATTTAAATACAATTGGATGCGAAAGGGATGAACTGTTTTCTAAAATCTGAACAGTAATTGTTTTATTTTTATGTTGTATTTTTGATATTCAGAGCCAAACTACCAAATTCGATTTCTATTTAACAGATTTTTCATAGGATTGAAATATGCAATTCATGACAAAGAATAATAAGGGTGAGGGGGCATTTCTCTCATTTTCCCTTTCTGAATCTACCACTGGTATATTTACGTATACAGTATATACCTATATATAGACTGAAATTTTCTAGAATATATAGACAATATTTATAGAAGTAAATGATGTATATAACATGCCAATTTCGTGACGCTATGGGGCACATCATGAGTAGGTATTGTTGTTTATGTACAATTATTTTCTACTTCGACGGTTTTAGACTTCTAAAAAGTATACTAATTTTGTGCTTGGGACGCGCTATTTTTATTAGTTATTTGTGGTACTTTGTATCAATTTGAAGATGTTCTTGATTGATTGATAGCAACACATAAACAGCTACAAAAACAGTTATCTTTTTTACTCATTTGCCATATAGCAACTCATTCATTTGGATTAAGATTAGGGTTGCCACCCGTACTTTATTATAAAGTATTGTACTCTACTTCGACTGTGCGTACGTTATACTTTATAAGACACATAAAATACGCAAAAATACTTTATTTAAGGCCTTAAGTAAACATCGTAATTTTGTAAGCGATTATTCGAAATTCAGAGTATTTTTACATCAATAATATTACACAGAAAAAATAGCAAGCCAAAGTGGCGGGACGACAGGAATAAAGCTTCATTGAAACTAATTAAAAAAGAACTTTTAGTTTACTTAAATCTTTGTTTGCCATGTTTAGAGGCTATTAATGTATTTAAGAGCGACAGCAATTTGTTACTGGCTGCTAGGTGTAACAAAAAATATGTTTTTAAAAACAAAAAATAATATACTTTATTTTTATGCTGATTACTTTTTTTTTTTAACCTTTTAGTCGAGAAATACTTTATGTAAAGCCTGAAAAGGTGGCAACCCTAGTTAAGATGGTTTTAACAAGGTTGGGTTTTTGATGAGTGAAGGTGCTCACCTTGAGTCAGGGGAATACCTATAGGCACTCTGGGTCTTCGTATTGTTGAGCCCATGGATTTAAATACTATTCGTATTAATTGACTGCACTGACCATTTATAATATTATTTAGATACTGACTCGTTAAAAAAGCCTATATTTATGTTCTTAACCTAATGAGGAGCTCAATGCACAATTGGAAAAAAAATTATGTTTGATCTTACGACTTCGTAGTTTCTAAATTCAAGTTTCCTAAGTATTTTTATTAAGTATAATTTTGAAAGTATTAAGAAAGTACTAAATAAGGTATTACAGGGGGGAAAATTAAAACAGTTGAATCACGATATTGAGGTTTATTTTTAGCTTAACTGAACCCGAGCGATTATTGCTTCCAACGCATCAGCCGCTTTTTAAATTGCCCGATAAATCATAAGAACGATTTTGTGTCAATAAAAGCCAACGTCGGCAATAAATTTTGTTTTTTTCCCGCCAACGAAGTTAAAAGTAGGCGGTATAACTACCAGAACGAACACGAGGTTTCTTCAAAAAGAAAGTTTGCCTTAATAAAATCACAATTGTCCGGATGATATCCATTTACCGACTAATGTTGACGTAACTTTTTTTTTCTTTCTAATATATAGTATTAAATTGTTTAGAGAACCCGGATTATGATAAGATGCTGGTCAGATTTTCCGTGATACGGGCATCCTATCAGTTGCTGATCCGAGTACAGCGCACTCTATCCGTTGATCAACCGATCTGATCAGTTTCTGTACTCCATTCCTTGATCTGGTCATCCGATCAGAAACTGATCATCGCACAGTACTCTATCTGTTGATCCAACCATCTGATCAGAAACTGATCATAGTAGAGTATCCTATCCCTTAATCCAGTCATCTGACCAATTTCTTATCACAATCTAATGTTACAAATTCTATTACGGTTTCGGTACAATTTTTAAATCAACATTGTATCCGATGTTCTGAACTGGATCATTATACAGAACTTTATTTTTTACCTGATTTATTCTGTATGCAATATTGTTCGTCAAACAATGAACAAATTTATTGTTAATTAATAATAATTAACAACAAGTTAATAATCCATTAATAATAATTATTAGATAGTAGTGTTAATACTAATTAGCAAATAGTTTGTTTATTCAAATTATTATTTTGAAGGGAATGGATCTGATGAATAGGTAAAGAATGGATTTTTGAAACGGATCCGTCATGGATCTTAGAAACAGATCCGACATGGATTTTTCAAATGGATCCTATGTTGATCATACATAGTGTGACGATTTTCCACTAACTAATTTCCAGTCGGACAGCTGCGGAGTTTTTATCGTTTTTCGGTAGAGATCTATGTTGCGTATTTAGGCATTTATTTCTGTTACACCCTGTATATGGGTAGAAAAATACTACTACCGTTCTTAAAAAGAGTATCTTTTTAGTGAAAGACGTGAAAAATAACATGAATTTTCGATAAGGAAAAGAAATTTTTTTGTAAACTTTTTGCTTTGTTTTGGATTACTTTTAGTGCCTACCATCAATGGATAAATTATGTTTTAAAAATGTATCTAGATCGGAAATTTAAGAAAACATTTGGAATTTTGCTTTTTTTTACAATCTTGGTCGGCTTCCAGAAATCCACTCCCGAATTTAGCAACACTTTGTGATTTTATTATTTTTATAAGTACGAAACTAACATATTAAACCATAAAAATCTTTCAAAACAAACGTTCCTTATTCAAAAACATATTTTGCGTTGCTGACTGATGTTTGTT